AGAAAAATTTACGTGTGAAGCCTTTGTTTATATACGTCAATGAAGTTGTTACTCACGTATTTGCTGAAATAATAAGTGAAATAATAAATGAACTTTGATGATCGGTGCGCAGTTAAATTGCAAGCTTTTTAAGAAGTATAAATTTTCTAAGCAGATGGCGGAATCCGTGTAAAGTCATTGAATGATTCCTTAAAGAGTCATTGTTCCAACTTTTAATATCATTTCTAAGCTCCGAAAGAGATCGTAACATTTGCTAGAGAAGCAGGTGCAACACAGGCACCAATTACATCGAAGAGTTGGTGTAATCAGGGTTAGCCTTACTGTCAAAATTTCATAGCTACGAGGATCGTGGAGTTCTACGAAAGCAGCCAGAGATGCATTTTTCCACCTTGGAGCACTATACAAGAGGAGAAGGACAATCGTATATGATCAGTGCGTGATTATTCTGAAAAAAAAATTTTGTTTTCCATCGAAGAAGATTGAGAAATATAAAAGGTCTTAGCAGGAAAAACGCAGTCATAATTAGCCTAGTCTAGTTAAGAAGTCTAGTTTTCATCCGTTTTTGGAAAACATACAGCTTGCCAGGAGAAAGAGGAATTCAATTCTGCCAAGTAGAGATAGTTTTAGTCATTTTTTCAAAATTGTAGAATTTTTGTATAAAAAATTGTAAATTTTTGATATAAGAAGATAAGAGAGTCTCTAGCCTTACATTAAATTACACTTGTTGAAAGCTTTTAGGAAATATTAGGTTGTAACAGAATTAATGCAGGTTTTGAATTCCAACTGCTATAAGTCATACACTTCTCATTTCTAAGTAGGTTGCAAAATACCATTCAATAGAGCAAAGCAATCTCTACAAGTGGTAATCTTGATTTAGCAACAACTCTGATCCACCACGAGTTTCGAGCCAAAAACTAAAAAGATTCAACTGTCCGAAAAATTGAGAAAAATCGTAACTCAGTTTATAAAAATCCTATAAAAATTCTAACTTGCTCACGTAAACATAATCCACATAGAGCATCTATATACGCCTTTGCCTTATTTTTTCTCCGTTAGAAATGAAGTAAACGGAAATTTTCGTGCATTTGCCAAAGTGTTGCGGTGCCCTTTCCACATAAGTAGTTGTATACTACAAATCTGTAGAAATACAAACGTAAATTTTCAGCTCTCTACAAGCTTTAGTTATCGAGAAATTTGAATTTTAGCTTGGGCCATCTGACTAGGGAAAACTATATTCGATATAACTCGAGAACTAAAGCTTGTAGAGAGCTGAAAATCTGCGTTAGTACTTCTATAGGTCTGTAGTATACAACCACCTATGTGGAAAGGGCACAGCATCACTTTGGCAAACGCACGAAAATTTCCGTTTTCCTGATTCCTAACAGAGAAAAAAATACGGCAAAGGCATATATAGATGTCTTATGTGAATAGTGCTTACGTGAGCAAGTTAGAATTTTGTAGGTTTTTTAGGAACTGAGTTACGATTTTTCTCAATTTTTTCGGACAGTTGAATCTTTTTAGTTTTTGGCTCGAAACTCGTGGTGGATCAGAGTTGTTGCTAAAGCAAGATTGCCATCTTGTAGAGATTGCTTTGCTCTATCGAATGGTGTTTTGCAACCTACTTAGGAATGAGAAGTGTATGACTTATTGCAGTTGGAATTCAAAACCTACATTAATTTTGCTACAACCTAATATATAGCTTACCAAGAAAGAAAAGATTTTCCTATAGGGTGAAGGTGGTCGCAGTTGTTTTTCTAAAATTAAGGAAATTTCTTTATAAAAATTCATAACTTTATTATGTGAAAAGCTGGATGAGTGTTTTGCACTCTATTGAATCCTCTCGTCGTCCGCTTTCAAAAAATATACAGTTTGCCAGGAAAAAGAGGATTTTCCTATGGGTGAAAGGGGTCGTAGTCTATTTTTCGGAATTAAGCCAATTTTTAACTTTAAAAAAATCCTAACAATTTTATGTGAGAAGCTGGGAGAGTGAATAGGTTTTCGTTGAATTCCTCCCGTCGTCCGCTTTCAGAAAATATATAGGTTGTAGGGAGAGGGATTCTAAAAGTACCTGGTGAAAGGGGGAGGAACATGGTATAATGGGCATGTTCCTTTAGCTCCTTAAAACGACGCTTTTTGAGTACAGAAAGGAAGATTTCCATCATACCATGTTCCCTCCCCTTTCACCACGTACTTTTAGCATCCCTCTCCCAACAGCCCAGTGGCGTACCCAAGATTTCGGCTCGGGGGGGGGCGGCAAAAATTTTTTTCAAATGAAGGTGCGTGGCGTCAGCCACGCACTCCGAAAAATTTTTAGGGGGGCTTCTCAAAATTTTGCGGGCCCCCAACTCTGCCCCCGAAAAAAATTTTTTTATAAAGCTAATTTAAATTTTTGAAAATTTTTAAAAATTATTTCAATTATTAACAAAAATAAACAAGTCACTTGCACATTTTTATAACTCATGTAAGTAACTTTCAAAAATTTCGCGACCCGTTCTCGGGGGGGGGGGGCTTAATTCCGGAAAATAGACTGCGACCCCTTTCACCCGATAGAAAAATCCTCTTTTTTCCTGGCAAACTGTATATTTCCTGAAAGCGAACGACGAGGGGATTCCAGTAGGGTGCAAAGCACTCTTCTAGTCTTTCGTATAGTAAAGTTATGAATTTTTATAAAAAAATTTCCTTAATTTTGAAAAAACAATTGCGACCACCTTCACAATACAGGAAAATCCTTTCTTCCTTGGTAAGCTATATATTTTCTGGAAGCTTTCAACAAGAGTAATTTAATGTATGGCTAGAGACTCTCTTATCTTCTCATATCAAAAATCTACAAGTTTTTATAAAAAAATTCTACAATTTTGAAAAAAATGACTAAAACTATTTCTATTTAGCAGAAAAAACCCCTCTTTTTCCTGGCAAGCTGTATATTTTCTGAAAGCGGATGGAAAGTAGAATTCTAAACTAGAGTAGGCTAATTATGACTGAGTTCTCCTTTGAGATCTTTTATATTTCTCAATCTTCTTCGATGAAAAACAAAAATTTTTTCAGAATAATCACGCAGTGATCATATACGATTGTCCTTCTCCTCTTGTATATGCTCCAAGGCAGGGCCTGGCACCAGCTGGCACGGGGCAAGCTGGATATCGTTTTTGGGGCAAAAAGCAAAGGGGGTTTCGTTTTTGTGGGCGAAGACATACGCAAAATTGGCGGCGACGACCTTTTTTTTTTTTTTTTTTTTTTAGTCGACGTTTCGTTTTTTGGGGGATTTTGGGGATTTTTTTAGGATTTTAGAGGGGATATCGTTGAGGATCAAAGGGGACTTCGTAAAATTTCCCAAAAGTCAAGGGGGACTTCGTAAAAATTGGCAAATTTCAAAGGGGACTTCGTTTTCAAAATTCCCTGGTCCAGCTCGTGCCGAGCCCTGCTCCAAGGTGGAAAAATGCATCTCTGACTGCTTTCCTCATCCCTATCATCGTCCAAGTAGGCGGATTGTAGAACTCCACGATCCTCGTAGCTATAACATTTTGACAGTAAGTCTAACCCTAATTACACCAACTCTTCAATGCAATAGGTGCCTCTGTTGCACCTGCTTCTCTAGCAAATGTTACGATCTCTTTCGGAGCTTAGAAATGATATTAAAAGTTGGAACAATGACTCTTTAAGGAATCATTCAATGACTTTACACGGATTCCGCCATCTGCTTAGAAAATTTATACCTCTTAAAAAGAATGCAATTTAACTACGCACCGATCATCAAAGTTCATTTATTATTTCACTTATTATTTCAGCAAATACGTGAGTAATAACTTCATTGACGTATATACACAAAGGCTTCACACGTAAATTTTTTTCCAGGCTTTTTCATCGTTCTCTAGAAGTGAACAATAGGCGGCAAATTTCCGATGTCTTCTCAGTAAGCCTGCAGATAGGTTTTTGATGATTATATTAATGATATTAGGAATTAAAATACTACTAAACTCAATTTTAATAATGTGGACAGTTTTATAATTTTGCTTAAAATGTTAACGTCTTAGTCTCACTTTTTCCACTTCCTCATCGGGCGTGGGTGAAGGGGGATCAGCCGGGTTCCGGCCCTGGGGTGAAGGGGGTAGGAACACATTATCGCCTTTTCACATGTATGCCCAAAGTTCTGAGTAAATTCAAAGTGTTTGAAATTTGTCGTTTGAGAAAGCCTCCTGTGCTTTCTTAAAAAATAACGGACTCAGTTTCTAATAGTATCCAGAAGCATCTATGTTGTACATGGTCATCATTATTAAAACTACGGTTTTTTTCTTTGAAATCGAAGCAATGAAGAATTGCGACGTCGCACGCGCCGCTCGCGTTGCCGCACTTCGTTGCAACTGTTGATCGATTTGCCCTCATATCTCCTACTCAGACATTCGTGGTTAACACGCGCAGTAGATTTACCCACAAAACGGGGTAGCGCGGAAAAATGAGTACTGCTGCGGCATACGCGCTTTTGTTGCGACGTTCGGGCTAACCCCGAAACTAAAAAGAAGGCGAGAGAAATCCATAACACCCGTCGCGACTCCCGAAAATGGTCTTGGTCGCGATTAGTCGTCTAAAATGGTCTTGTCTGTAATCACGCATGCTTCGCCCTGGGCGTCTAAATTCAAAAAGGAAGTTGCGCCGCTGTGTTAGTGGTGGAGCGGGCTGATTCTTCCGGTGAATCTTGCATCTAGTTTTTGATATTTGTTGTTCGAATCTGTCTTATTGAAGTAGTCTAATACTTTGCTGGTTTAGTGAGAATTTGCTTTCATTCTGTCTTAAGTGTCGCTGTTTCTTTGTTTTTTGTTACGCATTGAAGGGTTAACGATCAGGATTCTTTTTTGTCCCACCTTAACGATTGACTTCTTGATTTGAGTGTTCGATAAGAGTTTCTTCTTCGTTACAGCATTTTCCAGTTCTTCTCAGCGTTCGTTCGCGTTTCTTCATCATCTCGTTAGGAAGTGTATGACAAATGCGTTCAAACCCTCTATTCAGGTAGCAATTCGCATGCTTGACCCGTTGGGAGGCAAGCAACAGAGTTCGCCCTGGTTCGATAGTCTCTTCACATCGTCGACCCAATGAACAGTAACTCGTCGGGTTCATCCGGATCACCACTGAGTCTCTCGTCTCATCTCAGAGACAGCTCAGACGCACTCTCACGTCCCACTTGGCTCTTCAATAGTCAGGTTGGTTCGTATTTTTGAACATTGCAAAACTTTTTTGTAGTATCTCTGATCACAATGCGAAACTCTTAGCATTGATTCGATTTTTCTTCTCTATGACTTCTTTTTTTGCTCTTTGTTGCCTATTCTCTATCACCTGTCCATTGTGCATCCCTATGCTGAATTCTATAATTTCATGTACATGCTTTCATGTACCCTTCCAATAAATATATATATATATCTTCAATTTAGGGGAGACCTGCGCGCTTATTCGTTCAAGCCGGAAAAGAAAGAACTCGTTCCCCCGTCGGTAATATATATTAATACATTAATATATTAATACATCCTTTCTATGCACATCAGCCTTAAAATAGCATCTTTATTTCAGAAAAAAACGCACTTGTACAGTTGCAATGGCCACCGATCCGGTCCAGGTCAGGGATGAGGACAAAGAATATGAACTCGAAACACTTTGAAGCAATTCTATCACACATAAGCATTACTATTACTTTTGTTTGTTCCAACATGTTCTCATTATCACCGCACTAATTAGAAGAATTTCCATTTTTATATCCCATTTCACTTATGATGCTCTTGCTTATTTGTTTACATTCCTATAACTTGAAGATCCGAGGCCGTATTCATTATTCATACTTTAAGGTAAATCCTACTTCCAGGTAATTTAATCACTCATTATCATAAGTTTTATTACTGATAATGACTGATAAAACTACCTGGAAGTAGGATTTACCTCAAGGTATCAATGATGAATACGGCCTCTCAATTCACTTAGCCACTATTATACTCCCATTCCATTTATTATGGTAATCTTGCTTTGATTCGTTTGCACTCTAACTTCAAGATCTAAATTCACTTATTTTGTGTGTGCACTTGTTATGAAAAGTTCTCAATAAACATCTATTTGAGTACTGATAGAAGAATAAACTTGAACACATGGGTATTCAATGCATTTTAAAAAATAACTAACAAGGGAAGTCACTTAACTTAGGTCGAGCTTTTGAAATGAGACACATATGCTTGGAATCAGGTTGAAACGCTGATTTCAAATCTGCTTTCCTTAGCTGCGAAGCGTTCCTCTGAAGCGAGTTATGAGCTTTTTCCTGAGCAAATTCTGCGTGTTGACCGACTTAGGCATGCTACGGTATCATCATCTAGGTAGTGGTTCAAATGCATATTAAACCCTATCGAAGCCAAATGACTCACTTTGATGTTATTTTGATTTTCCATTACTTTTTGGGCAGATTTTCATCCAAAGACCTTCTTTCCATATTCAGTTGTATGTCAATAACACATAATGAAAAAGCTCATAATTCGCTTCAGAGAAAAGCTTCGCAGCTAGGGATAGCATATTTGGAATCAGCGTTCCGAGCTGATTCTAAATATATGTGTCTCATTTCAAAAGCCCGACCTAAGTTAAGTGACTTCCCTTGTAAGAGAACAGCGATGAGCGCAAGTTGCGCCGTAACTGAATTCTCAACATTACCGGGTCTTGCGCTAAAGCTCAGTTTTTCTCCCGGTCTGCGTGAGTGCGGGAGAATAACTTGTCTCGTGCAGCAATCTCCCGATCACTACGCCGGTGTCCCGAAATTCTCACGACTGTTTTAATTAAGTCCCGCAGTCATTCTGTCGCTACATAACTTTTCTTTGCGCGCGAGTCAACCACGAATGTCCGAGTAAGCAAATGATGGCGGCACAGCTCTATAGAAGGTTTTGAAAAAAAAGAGCTTGGGCCCTTGACTTGACAACTTTAGACAAAAAGAAAACCTCCTCTAAACGATAAAAGGATCGTTCAAAACCCCGTGCTGCACCATGTGCAGCACCGGCCGAAACGTGTTAAACATGACTTCGGGAGCTGAGAGTTGGTACAGGAGACAAATGAGCATGTGATGACGAAAGTAACATTTATAGGGGCCTGCAGGATCGCGAGAGTCGGACGCGCGTACGGCCTTTGCGCCGCGCACGCCTGATATCGCTGGGTCGTAGTCGATTAAGGCTAGATAGGTAAGTTTTTTTTGTTTTTCTTTACATTTCACGCCTTCTTTTCTTTTCAGACGGTGAGCACATGTTGGTGCGGAGGAGTTTAAGATCTGAATTAAGGTGAGGTGCAGGATTATGCTCAATACGGACTCAATATTGCAGACCTTCCATGCCTGCTGGTTGAGATGTTGGATTTTCTGTCCTGGCTGCCCTGTTACAGCAAACTGTTCTATTTCTACCGTCTATTCTACCTTATCTTGCATATTGCTTGTGATGATGATGATGATGATGATGAGGATTATGATTGTGATGACGCGCATGATGCAAGATGAGGTAGAACAGACGTTGCAAATAAAACGGAGTTTCGTAACCGGGCAGGCAGGACGAAAAATCGAACATAATCGGACAGCCAGAACAGAAAACTCAACATTTTTCAAAGCAGGGGTGAAAAGTCCACAATATTGGCCCGTATTGAGCATAATCCTGCACCTCACCTTAATCTAGATCTTAAACTCCTCTGCACCAACATATGTTCGCCGCCTGAAAAGAAAAGAAGGCGAGAAATGAGAAGAAAAACAAAAAAATCTCACCTATCCAGCCTAAATCGAGTACGACCCAGTGACATACGACGTGCGCGGCGCAATGGCCGTACGCACGTCCGACTCTCGCGATCCTGCAGGCCCCTATACCAAGTGAACTACTCACTGTATTGTGAATTTGTGTAGACTTTGACGCAAGAAGCTGGCAACTGAAGGAAATTAGCATGTGATTACGAAAATTAGGGGAATGAAGGATGTAAAAGTGGGACAGGCACAGTTGTATGAGTAGAAAATCGCGTTCTTCCTCACAGTACAATGAGGAAGAAGAATATGGCACGCGCCATACCTGATCCACTTGAACCGCTTCATCATTGGTCATTTCAGTGCACTAACCAATAGTGAAGCGGATCAAGCGGATCAAGTATGGCGCGTGCCTATGCCACCTAGTAATCCCTTATTTTTCCTTTACTACCGTTTGCCTAACGCAACCCTTACCGCAACCCTTACCCCCTGTCGGCCTCGACCTCAAAAATCCAGCCTATACAGACAAAAGAACAGACGCTTGTCGTATAAAAACAACACTTCATTTTGAAGCTTACATACGTGTTCGCATTTTTAACAAGGTACAAAAACAAACATGTGCACAATAAGACTGAAATCACGGCAGCTCAGACCTGAAATCGAATGAGATCAAAAATAATAAAAGAGTTGGCTCAGATCCTCCACCGACTTGGCATCGAAGCAAAAGGTAGTACCGCTAAGACACAAGAGTAAATACGGTCGACGATAACAGCTAACTATGCCGAGGCCGTTTTAATGATGCTATAGCTTTTCCTGCAGCAACTTTCCCTCCAGCTGATTGTCGCTTTACATTAGATCGAACTTGCAATGACTTAAATGATTGAGTACAACTAGGAAACATTGTTAAAAACAGAGCTCACCTCTTCATCCTGTCCAGAAGTTGCAGCATATGTAATACTCAAAGTATTGTTCCTTGACTGATGACGATTGCTGAATTCACTGCGACTCTGTAGATGCGTACGATCTAGATTGGACCGTCCATTGCCAGTAGACGTGTCCGTTGTGGCAGTATTATTGTGGCCGTTTTCGACCTCGCCAGCAGTCATCATGAAGAATGCCTGAATGAATGCATTGACAGCAACTCAGACAATCGCCGGGGGCAGGCGGGCACCGGAAAAATAGATTGCTGATCTCTCGCACCCCGCTCGCGGATTTTTTGGAAAGCAATCAGGACTTTTCGGAAGACCGCTTGCTGAGTTCTCGATTCCTCAGAGATTCAGCAATATATCTGCAAAAGATAAGAGCGAAAAAAATTCAACAGGCGGTCTCTCAAAAATCCGCTGACTCAGCAAGCAGTCTTCCGAAAAGTCCTGATTGCTTCGCAAAAAATCCGCGAGTGGGGTGCGAGAAATCAGCAATCTATTTTTCCGGTGCCCGCCTGCCCCCAGCGATTGTCTGAGAAGGTGTGCTTGACCTTTCACACAATCCCACGCATAAATAGAGAGCCTGTTTATATGCGTTTGTGGGCATGTTAATGAATTATTTTATGCAGTTTCAAATAGAATCATGTTTCTTACATCCCAGCAAACATTCACGCACAAGCTCGAAGCAAGAAAGGTTTCAAAGAATTACCAACAGGCATACTGGGATCGGGCCAGCCCTGTCGATACATTGTGATGAAAATCGCATTCTCCGTTTCTCGACAACACTTTTATATGCCACTTCAATATACCAATTCGCCGCCTTCACTATTCTTCGTCTGCCTCACTCACTAGATTATAAAGTGCAAAAGGCACTTTCCTACTACCGTAGGCAGAATTAGGCGTAAAGCTAATGTTGTTGCTGAAGCATTCAACTTTTCGCAAATAAATATCGCTGTGGATTGGGCGCACTTGTTCACTATTTTGTAATGAGCGTAGTGAGTCAGTCTTATCGCGAGTCTTGATGTTGTTTCTTTTGATCTTGCCCGCCTTTCAGAGGGTGATGGAAGAAAGCACTTCTTGCTGCAGTCACTGCTGACACCGTACAGTTTTATTGATCCATAAGCGGTAGGTACAGCATCGAGATCAAAACTTCATACAGCTACTATCATTGATGAGGAATGCTATCGCTTATCTCTATATATATAAAACTCAAAAATTGTCTGTTTGGGGGGTATGTGAGTTATAAAAACGCACGCCGCTAAACCAATTGGGCTAAAACTTTTCACACAGATGTCCTTGACCCCGGAGACGGTTTTAGGATACTTTTTACTAGAATTCGCTGGGCCCTTTTATCGATTTATTGATTTGTTTACGTTTTCCTAAGAAATTGAAGGTTTATCATGTTCAATCAAGCATTTTCCCGTAGTCATGTAAAGGAGGGCGGTGAAGCTCATTTTCACCTCAGGATCACGAGGATGCGGTTCGAAGCGGATGTCCCAGGGTAAGTCATCCATAACATATAAGAAGAAGGGGGAGGGGCTCGCAGTGCAGGTGGCCAATAGCCGGCTGAACTGGAAAAGCCAACTAGTGAATAATATTTTCTGGGGCGGTATTCATCACGGGTCGGGCGCCCGACCCGGCCGAGCGATCATTTTCTATTGAAAATGCGCCCGCCCGCTTTCAAAACAGGAGATTGATTCACACCGCCCCTGGAGTTGACTGTCGCCAAGGCAGGAGTCATTCATCGTCGCATTTTTGGCCCAATTCATTCTACAGCTAATGTCACCTGCTTTCAAATTCTACTTTGATATGACATTTTACAGTTTTACATGAATTTCTGCCGTTTTTTTTCTACAGACGGATACGTTACTAACAAGAAGAGCGATGCATGAGCTGACTCGCTTTCGGCCAACACATTTTTTTCCAAATTACCCAAATCCCCTAGCTCAAAGACATAATTATTCGGTAATGAGTTTACAACAAACCCGGGCCATGGTACTAAGAAGTAGCTGTGTACAAAATAGAAGACTTGACAGGATAAAGGTACTAGGGAGAACGCAGATCTGACAGTTATGTACAGGGTCAAGCGTGGGGCGTGGCACGCCACACCTGGGGGGTCGTATTGAGGAGTTAAAAGGTAAAGGGGTCGTAGTTGGATAATCTGATAATAGTGATAACATGATATTCGTATCATATCCATAATAAGCATGTCAATTCACCCTTGTAGACAAAGTTTGAGCGAATTCTGAAGATTCTTATCTAGGCTACCTAAGTGAAATGGTCATACTCCAACATGATTAATTTTGTTTCAAAGATAAATTAGCTCTCTTTTTGCACTCAGGACAAAGCACTACTCCTTCTCTGCCCACCTCAGAAATCCGCTTCAAAAGACCTCCAAACTGTGGAATTCGAACAACCAAAACCCCATTTTTCCCATTTTTCGCTTTTAATGGCTGTGCTTTCACCAGATATTACTCAGAGCTAAGAGGACGATCAGGCTTAAAACAATTCTATGGAATCTACGAGGTTTAGGCTATTGATTCATATAACTCACTGTTCGCCAAAAATGTTTTTTTATAGTTAATGGAATGTGACACCACCCCTAAAAAGCTGTGGCAGCCACAGCTTTTTAAGGGTGTCGCCCCGCCCACTTGCATGCTTTATCTCGCCTGCGCTTGTTGCAGAGGGTTCTCGAAACAGGGATTTTTGGGGTTCCGCGGATTTTCGACTCCATATTAGGAATCAGGGCTTTCAGAAGGCCTGAAAGCGACAAAAACATTGAATTCGAGATTTTGGGTGGACGGTGCCTTTAACCGGTATTCACTACCCAGTGGGTTTGCAAACCCAGAAAGCGAGCATACCGGCATTCACAAAACAAATCACCCAGTTCTCGTGGGTTCCGGAACCCACCGAGTGCTGGGTTGGCGAACCCAAGCACGGTGCAAATTCCTCAGTGGTTTACATGCGAACCCAGTTTCTTTGCTGAATATTATGAAGACTTTTATTAACAGAGGTGGTTATTACTCGCAAACTTTATACGTTAGAAACATTTCCCATATTCTTCATAACTGAAAGGAATTCTGTTAAATAAATCTTGATTAAACTTGATGCAGGTCACCATTTGACAGTATCTGAAAAGTCGCAAACAAGCTTTTTGCGATTTTTGCGTCAAATTGTAAAGAGCCTAAGCACTTGCCGATGTTTGCTCAAGCTATCTTAGAATTTTTCTGATAGTGCTGCGACTACAGAGGGAGCGTCATATAGGAAGCAGAGCGTCTGCAAGCATTCGTGTTCATGTATTTGACAGACAGACAAACATGGACGATAGACAACATCTACTGTCCATGTTTGTCTATGTTTGCTTATTCCTCAGATTAAAAAAATCTTGCCCGCATTCCGATCAAGATAACAGACGAACGATTCAAGAAAAGAAAAAGAGCGGTTCTAATCAAAGTTGTTCGTTCCTTAATCTGGTGGAGTAAAAGCCAATGGGAAGGAAAAAAGGAATAATCATGGTAATCACCAGTGGCGGACCGAGGGAGGGGGGGGGGACCCGGGAATGGGTCGCGAAATTTTTGAAAGTTACTTATATGGGTTATAAAAATGTGCAAGTGACTTGTTTATACTTGTAAATAATCAAAATAATTTTTAAATATTTCTATCAATTCAAATTAGCCTTGGAAAATTTTTTTTGGGGGCGTGGCGTCAACCAAGCCCCCTTTTTCCAGATTTTAGGGGTTGGGGACCCGCAAAAATTTTGAGAAGCACCCCAAAAAAATTTTCGAAGTGCGTGGCTAACGCCACGCACCTTCATTGAAAAAATTTTTTCGTCGCCCCCCCCCCCCCGAGCGGAAATCCTGGGTACGCCACTGAAGTGCGCACGCAGAATGTGGGTGTTACTGGCGTGGCCGTGTTGACGCACAAATTTACCGCATTTCACCTACAATGCAAGGACTAAGTTTGAGCAAAATCCACGGCAAAGAGCTTTGGAATGATAGCCGAATAGCGCCGGAAGTTCTTAGGAAGTACTGGCCTGGAATTAGCCTCCAAACTTTAGTCAGTAGAAGTTTACGCGTTAATTTCGGTATCCGGTCCCCAAAATTTCAAGCTTGTGGATTTTGCCCATCCTCGCTCTAGGGGGAGGGGGGTTATTTGACCCGCTGATGCCGAATATACTAATTTTGCGCTGTTGCGCCATTTTCTGGGGTTACGGCGGATATACGGTAAGGGTCAAAATCATAGATTTCGCTGAAACTTAACCTGAGGAAGTTATTCGACGTGCTGATCACGGATACAATCTTTCTGCACTTTAAGGCTTTTCACGAAGTTACGGTGGGCTTACGGTTAGAGGCATACCTTCGATACAAGAGCCATGTACTTTGGTGACCTTCACTTTGAGCGTCATGATAGAACACAACTTTCACCTGGAGAGAAGTACAAAAGTCATCCGGGGCGAAGCCCCGGATATGATGACGTAACTAATGACATAACCATATAGTGATGAATGTGAATGAGGCAAATATAGTAGTGACATCCAAAAGAAGCTCAAAAAACCGAAGCATTGCGTTTTCATGGCCATTTTTGCTGAAAATAAGGTTTTTACTCAAAAATTCAACTAGAAACTAGGACAAAATTTTTCAATTAACCTTTCTCTAGGCTGCGATTGAGCGTTGGAAGTTCATGAAAGCCGCTGGAGTTCATTGAAAACGAGAAACTGCGCTCAAATCTTGCGCAGAGAGTCCCCACATGAATGCTGGTCTATCTCGTTATGGAATGATTTTTAAGACCCGCGACGTTGTCACCGCTCCTGGCCGTCTCATGTGGATCACAACGGTATATAATGTAGGGTTTCGTCATGGACCCGCGGAGATCTACGACCAGAGCCAAGTGCCCCACCGGATCTGGTCTCCGCTGCTCGTCTGCGTCTCCGCGCTTTGCGCGCTACCTCGCTACCTCAAATGCGGGGCGCGGGGCATTTGACTCTGGTACCCTTTTCTTCGTTGTTCGGAGCCCAGTTTCGACGATCTATATATCATATCAAAGCTCTTGATCTCTATATTCACGCTGACAACGTCGCAGGACTCCTTATGATGTAAACAAGAAATCTGGAAAAAACGGCGTTTTCAGAAACCTCTTGTTTTTTCTTCAGTTTAATTCTTTTCACTTGGTTTTTTTTGTATTTGGTTCCCCCCACC